AACCGTTCTATCATTTGTTCAGTTTTTTCCTCTTCACTGCTTCTATCTGGAATTGATCCAAACTACCTTAAGTACTATAATTATTCGTCGTAGGAAATCAGTGTTCGTCTCTGATAGAACTGGTTTGGCAGCATGTCAGCTGTCGATGTATTTTGCAAGTCTTTTACGTACAATCTTGGACTGCAGGTAGATTTCACGGGATGTACTTTGTTATTATTTCACGATTGTTCTCTATAATGTATAACAGATGCTGTTCTGCAGAAAATATGAATTTTCATTAAGCATTCATTTCGAGTTGAGTTTGTATTTGTGGTAATGCCTCCTTCGTTCAAGATCTGGGCTCTTGTCGTTATGATTATGACGTTCGGCCCACAGTAGGATGGATATACACCATGTTCCCAGTTTCTATTTGATTTAGTAATAACAATTATATTTATAATTAAATAGCCACTTTTCTACTGACGCAAGTGAACTGCGGATTGTTCGTAAATTTGAAAGACAGAGACAACGGGAATCTAGTATTTGCAAAGAAGTTAACAGGTCGTAATTCTACAGACTGCGAAGCCCATGGAAGACTTTTATTTTGAGGTAGTGTGAATTTGATGAGCATACTGTGGTAAGCATATCTGTTATTGTCAAAGGCCAACAATCCTGAAACACTGGAATAGTCAAGTTTGATGTTCGATCCGTTTAAAATGGCGTCATGTATTTAGAATATAGTGTTCAGGTGGTTATTCAGTAAAAGAAGAAAACTTTATCGTAAATACTGACCATCCTGTCAAAAGCTGTGGTGACTAACAGTACAAGTGGCGAAATCTGGCAATGAATTACAATGTAAATAAGTCTTCTTATTCCATAGTTGGCAGCACGAAAAGCGAATTTTTTTTCATACTTTCCAAATTTTCCACCTAATTGGAATCGGTAATCATCAGGGAATGAACGAAGTCGAAAAATAAATTGCGTGGTCAGTTGGACCTTGTTCAGACTGGTAGGACGCTCTACCGGTCGCTAATTAAGCATTAATCCAGCTTTACGTCACAAACGTCAGCGTGGTGGAGCAGCGGTTACGAGTTCTGCCCATACGTTTGCTGCCTGCGATGCCCACACATTGCCTGATGATGATCGATGTCTTTTCGGTCGAAACGTGGGAATATTGGGAAATAAATAATTTGGGAATGTCATTTTTCAATACAGCCAAAGTTATAAATCTCCTAAATTTTTTTCAGTGCAGATAGCTTTGAGCTTGACACAAGATATTCCTTTGCTTTGTTACGAAGTTTTGGCTTCTGGCACAGAAGCCATCATCAGGGGAATTTTTTTTCTCAATACAAGGATACAGTATAGTAATAAATATGTAACAGTAAAAATACTTTTACCATTTTTTGTACTGCCAACTGTGAAAGTAGAATACATCCCCGACACGACGTTCGTATGAACCTCACCAATTAAAAAGTGCGAGGAATACTAAGTTTTAATTAATTTTTTCAATCTTGAGTGCTTACAACGCCGTTCTTCGAAAAGCAGTTTCAGCAAATTTTTTTTGAATAAGCATTATTGAATAAACTAAATAGGTCAGTTTCAGGCTTCATCCCATGGCCATTTCCATATGACCTTTATCGCAGCAGTGAACGTTACCTAATATGAATCTGACCTGCCATTTCTAAGGGTCAAACATCTGTGATGGTCTGCCCTTTGTGCTCTGTTAACCTGAAATGATGATGATAAAAGAAATAATAAACAAGTCATTTGTCTATCTTTACTGCACTGAAAGGATACCATAATCATTAAAGCAGGCAACTATCTTCTTCGGCAATAGTACAAACCATTTCAGTAAAGCGTGCCGTGAATGTCAAACAAAACAATGACATTAAAGTTTATTGGATACAATTTAAGCAAATGGGCTGATAGAATTGGGCAGAGTGCAAGTCAGATTGTGCATAATATAAAGTAAAAATGTCGACAGGTAACTACTTCGAAGAACAGGAAGGTAGTATATCAAATGCATTTATTTTAAAAATGGCGCCAGTTTAAATTTTAATCCATCTCACGTAACATTTGACATCTGAAATTGCATTCCAAACTTGTAGTGGCTTTCACTGTTTATCAGATGACTTAAAAAATTGTAGGCAGGATGATTTTTGTGTACTTTTGTTTCAGGTATGCTTTCGAGCGGTAACCTTCGTCGTAAATGCATTACTGCTTCGTCGCATCACTTCGGCGGTGCTTGGGATAGCGAACGTGAGGTATCTGGCTGACGTAACAGTCTGTTAGTACTGCTTTCAGTCTCTAGATTGATGCTACTTTACACGACCGTCTCCTTCTTCAGCAGAGAGTCGTTCAGGAAGACCTGCGTATCAGATGCCGAGACGGCAGCTAAACCTGCTGCGATTAACGTAACATGGTTATGGTGAGACTTATTATTATTGTTGTTATTTTTATGATTTATCAGTTTGCTGTATGATAAGTTTCTAATATCTCTATCACCATCATTATCTTTTTCGCCATATCCATAGTCCTTATCGCGATTATCGTCGTTGTCACTATAACCACTAGCATCAAGATTATTATGGCAATCGCCGTAATCATTATCCTTATCACCGTCATATTCCTTATTATTGTACCAATATTTTCGTTATAATAATCACCATCATTCTTACCATAGTCTCCATGATCTTATCACCACATTCGTCATTATCATATGTATAATTATGTAGAAACTGCTAGCTTATGACACCACCTGGCTGCTGTGTTCCTACGGGTCATTGAACCGACCGCAGTTCCATAGTTTTGAGCATTCGCCGTGCATGAATCCATTTCGTATCCTTTTATTGGTTAGAGTAATACTGCACATGCTCAAGTGACATATAGCATGGCCTGCTTAAATATTTCATGTGCATCTAGAAGGAAGGAACATTGTGCAGTGAATGCTGTTATGCGAAAAGATTTGTTCACTTATTAACATATCTCAGCGTTGAAAAACCTATTTTTGACATTGCTTACTTCATCACTGTCATCGTAATCATTATTACCACCACAGTCACAGCATAAATCGTGTGCTTAAGTATTAGGACCGTTCGGCCAATGAACTGTAGCCTCTAAAGACGATCTTTAACTGGAGTGTGAGTATTCAATGGATCTCCGCAGGCATGGCTCGTCACTTGCCCTTTACGAGTTTAGAGCCTGAAGGCGAGCTTTTGTTTCATGTTGCTCATTAAGTATTTTTTACGACAGGGACAAGAAGTTCAGCCAGTAATCACCCAGTCCTGCGATAATGTCAACCATGATAAAGCATACGACCTCTGCGCGGATTGTATGAGCCTTATCATCCATATCGCCAGGTTTTACTTGACCGGCAGCACAGACCAAATGCTCACCTTCTAGCTCCAAACTGTGGAACAGCTGCAAATGATAAAATAAAGTTTCGAAGTCAACTGGGCTCTCTGCGCAGAAGGTCAGTGAAACAAGGTTCTGCAGATTCACCCGATTGACTAAGTTGCGTAGGTTATCTATAAACAAACCATTTTGTGCAGCTGTTTTTAGTGAAATGTTTCGACCATATGATTATGAGTTACGAATCAGCTTCAAATTCGAAAACATCTTCAGAAAGCTGATTTCTCTCAGCAAACATTTGATTCATTTGACACTGCAGTGCATATTTCACCGAAGTAATGCGACATATTCGTTCCGTACCTTTACTTCTACAGCCATACAGTATCATTTTACATTTTAAACATTTCACAGTTGCCTAACCCTATGCTGAAACGTCTCTTAGATGGAACGGTCATCCCCGTTTATGCTTGAAGAAGTGACGTGAGCATGTTATACCAAATTGTAATATCAAAAACTCGATCTGGTGAACCCAGAATATCATGAGTATTCCTGGCTTTCGCTGTTGGCACTGAATCGGTTTGAACATCAGAGAACTACGCTATAAATATTAGCCTATTGCAGCCATGAACTTTCAACCCTACCGGATATGCTCTGATCATTTTTGCTCGTTTTTGGTGGTTGGAAGTTTGGATTAAGCATGGCTAGATGTATCAGACTATAATATTGTCCTTATTGACCGTTTTGTTGTTTTTTAAATCAGACAAATTGAATTATTCTTTTGCGACCAGCAAAAGCAGACTGCTACCTATTTTTGCTACGTTGAGGACTACTACCTGGTTAATGGTCTACCTTATCCTTCGGAAAAGACTTACAAGGTTTTTAAATGCAAGGAAACAAGTAATAGCATT